GGCTGAGTGGCTGGCTGGGAGATGTTTAAGTAAATCAGAGTTGCTGTCCCCTCTCCAGTGAAAATTAGGTAGGGGGTGTGGAGGTGGAGCAGAAGAAGAGTTGTTTTGTTCTCAGCATTTTAGGTTAGAGAAAGATTGACAGAGCCTAGAAAACACAGAGAGAATGGGAATTAGTACGGTAAAATTGAAAGGGAGGGAATGTTTATTTAGTGGTGTGGGTTTTTTTTAAAAAAAAAACTATTTCTGTTCAGTTCTGCACAGGCTCAGCTATTTTACATCTGCTTCAGTCTTCTTTTTGTCTCTCTTTTCAGACTGTATGGATTTGGGAATGTCAATCTCAGCCTTATTCATTAGTTGCAGTTCATCTATTGTCTCAGAACCCTACTTTATCACTTCTGTTAAAATAAAATAAAAAATTTTTTCCTCTCTTATTTCCAGGTTGAGCCATACTCCCCTGCACACACATTCAAAGTAAAAATTGATTTCTATGAAAGAAAGAAGTCCCACTGAAGAACATGCAGGATTCTGCAGTTTAGTTTTTGTTCACTAGATGGTATTCTTGGGACGATCAACAAGACCAGTTTCAAGGACAAAATCCTTATAATGAAACACTTTTTTCCCCTGTTTTACATTTTTGTTAAGTGACTACATGACAGCGAAGCTTCCTGCAGTTGGAGGAAAAAATTACATCTCATTATGCCATTATTGTAAGCATTTGACCTGAGTGGGAATTTTGGTGGGTGGTAAAACTGTACTGTCGCCTACCATCAGCTTTATACTGAGTCAGATCATTAATCCATTTAATCCAGACGGGAGGCAACAAATTTCAAAACAGCCCCCACACTTTCAAAAAAAAAAAATCAGTATATCATTTTGATTCCAAGGTCTACAGTAAAAAGAACAGTGCTATCATAATATTATGCAACTAGGCAGAGTCAATTTCCAATATCGGGGATGCTTTTTTAAAAAAGGGAGTTTATTTGTTATTGTTTTGCTTTCACATGTACTAACCTTTTCCAATGATACATAACATTGTTTAGCTTCCACAAAAATTACCAGGAAATGATTCTCTTTCCCATCAGTTTGTGGTTGAATTACAATTCTGCTTAGATCTGGGCATCACTTGCTGCATGCTGAGTGTGGACTGTATCTTGGCTTAGTTGATAAGTGGGTAACTCATGGCCTCCAGATGTTCAACATTTGAGTCTTGTCAACTTTCCAGAATTATGAGCTGATCAAGCAGTATGGTTGAGTGGGAAGAAAAAGACTAGGGTTTCCCAGAGTTATTATGAATTAAATTTTTATCCTGCCAAATCATCCAGACTTCCAACAGCCAATAGCAGCATAGTTGTAGTAGAAAAATTATCATCTGTAAGATAACCTGAGGGAATCGAGTTAGTGTTTTTCCACTTTTAATGACTCTGCTTAAAATCCAGGGTTTTTAAATTGCTAACTGTATTGTTTCATGCATGACTGTATTTGCTTGCATGTATTTATGAACATACGTCTTTCAGCAATTAGTATCAGTATCTTTTCATTCAAATGCTCTCCTTCTCTGATTTCATAGAATCATACAATCTAAGAATTAGAAAGGAATCCAGTGCAGGAATCTACTATTACAAGAGCATCCACAAAAGCCATTGAATTTCTTTACGAAATTATTTCTAAATCCAATTGAAATTGTAATCTAAACCTATTGCTTCTTGCTTTTTATTTTTGAATGACCTTAAATCTTATACATTACAAACCTTCAGATCCTTGAAGACAATCATTGGATCGTTCTGTAGTCTTTTCTTCTCCAGGCAAAAAGTGCACAATATTTCCAACTATTCCTCATTTTTTCCCTTCCAGGCTCCATATTATCATTGTTGCTTTTCTAGAGATGGTCCAGTTTTCCAGACATACTCTGGTTTGTTTTTCTAGATATACTTCCAGAAATATATTCTAGAACTGGATGCAGTAGTCTAGGTGTTTAATGCAACATTGGTTTTCTCTAGAGCAATAGTTTTAGGCAGATGTGAGAATCACTGAAGAAATGAAAATCCAGGCTTTGGAGGCTTTGCAGATTGAATTTTTTCATATGGCAACAAATCATTTCAATTCTAATCCAGGGATATGAGGAAATATGTCACATCCTATCAGAAAAAACATAATCCCTCTTATTGCACATGAGGACATTAGTGAGGTACACACCCTTATGCTGAACTATGTTTTTTTAATAAACTACAGTCAGTAAGTTAAAGCAATACATTGCATTGTTATACAAGATGGCTAAATTTACACATCAAACTAAGCCAGAACTAAACAAATCATGCTATGACAATGCAATGTGGGAACCTATAAATTCTTCTATTCAAAGTTTTGATAAAACCAAACCTAGAATTTCATTTACAGAATGTATTATAATTCTTCCATCCTGGCAGTGCACAGTAACACTGAAGCTTCAGCAATCAATTTCATACATTTTAGCATAGGCTTCTTTATCAACTTCATAGACTCTGTTCTAAGACCTGGAAACATTGACCAAGATACCATCAGCTGCTTCACCTCTCTAAATGAACTATTTTCTCATTAATTCTGTGACTGTTGCCTAATTATTCAGCTTCTTCTACACAACCAACCGGAGTAAGAGAGCAATGTAATTAAATTAGGTCATTCTTGTATCTATTACTGTCACTTGTTCAGGTCAGGGAATTATGTTATACTGATAAAGGGGAAAAGCTGGGGAGGGACCAAAGAATGCTAACAATTGGCAATAATCCAGTGGTGAAATGCTACCAGTTCGCATTGGTTCAGGCGAACCGGTAGTGATAAAAACTACCGGTTCAAGCGAACCAGTAGTAAAAAAAAGCTACCGGTTTCTCCGAACCAGTATTTCTGACGATCAGCTGTGCCGCGTGATTTAAAATAGCTAGAAAGCAGGAAATCCTGCTTTCTAGTGAATCTAAATCGTGCGGCATAGCTGATCCTCCCCCCCCCCTGCTCTACTTATCTTCCCAAGCCTCCTTTTGGTGTGCACTGCACATGCGCGGCCAGCAAACCGGTGGCAAACTGGTTCAGATTTCACCACTGCAATAATCTCTCTTCATTTCTGAGTTCATGCTGAGTACAGTTTGAGAGTAAAGTACTTCTTTCTCAGACTGGCCCTTTTCTACATTTTCAAGCTGCAGCAACAGCAATAGCACTTGGATTTATATACCACTTCATAGTGTTTTACAGCCCTCTCTAAGCGTTTTACAGTTAGCATATTGCCCCCAAGAATCTGGGTCCTCATTTTACCAACCTCGGAAGGATGGAAGGCTGAGTCAACCTTGAGCCAGTCAGGATCGAACTCTGGCAGTGAGTAGTGAGTTAGCCTATTTTACATTATGCTAAGTGATTATGTGGCTTGTTTGGTTTTGGATTAGCATGTGGGTCAAATCTATTCACTGAGATTAGAATACCATGCTCATCATGTTATACAAATTCAGGCAATTATGGCTTATTGAATAAACATAATTAAACCTTGGCTTATATCATGCTACCATCGACCTCTGTTTGTAGGAGCATCCTGGAGGAAGGAAGTTGCAGACCTCCATGTACAGCAACAAGCTTCTGGGCAGAAAAGCATTTACAAACTCAAGCTCTTAATTAACTAAGCATAAATACCACCCTCTTGTACCTTTTTCATTTCTTCCTCGTTCAATGTGTTCATTTGTACCATAATGTTCTTTTTGTTTGCATGAATTTTGAAACACAAGCAGCCAAGATGAATTTCATCATTCTCCCTAAATCAGGCCTGGGGCTAATTTAATTGCTGCGTATTGGGGGGGGGGGAGTATTTGTTCTGGCTGCCAAGAGCTTTAGTGGGTATGATAGTGATGCAGTATGCTACTAAAAAGGGGAATAGAAGGTCCAATATTTGGGCAGTTCGTAGGAGGCCTTTTGTCTTTCTGTTTATTTTATATTTTCCTCATTTGTCATATTAAAATAATACAATTTTGATGACAGGTTCTGGGAGCTGAATACTTTGATCTGGGAATATTATTAATGTAGATCAGCAAGGCTTCTCCTACCCAAGAATCCTTTAGATGTCTGAAAAATAATTTCCATTAGGAAGGAATTATGGGAATCATACCAGTAGTACTAGCTGGAGGAGACCAAATGTGGAAAGCTGGTTCAATCTCTGTCCAGAATATTTGCAGTTGATAGGAATGTTGCCTGATATTCAAGGGCAAATCCATCTAGTGCTTCTTCTGAGACTCATCTTTCTCTCTTCTGAGACCCATCTTTCTCCGTTCCTCACCTTTCTCAGATGGGTCCTGAACTTCTGATTCACTTATAGATCCTTTGCTTCTCAATTCATTATTTTACTTTGCAATACAATGCCTAGAAACAGTGCAACTCTCAGTCTTTGAAAAAGGGCCTCAGGTAGACAACAAAATTACTATTGAAAAAGAAGGGGTGAGAATAAGTTCAGGAGGCCTGGTGGCACAGTGTTAAACCAACCGTTGATAAAGGAGGCTTTGTTCTATGGCCATTGAGATTTACTTACCATCTGAGTCAATTGTGGGTGAATCATAAGCGGATACATTTATATCCTCCAGTCCTTTAGCCCTCCAATTGCTGTTATAGTAAAATTCCCATCATCTTTGACTATTACTCAAATTTAAGTTGATGGAAGTTGTAGTCTCACAATATTTGGATGATTGTAGGATTACCATATTTGTTGTGGATCATATCCTCTAAGTGTCATGATTTCTCAGAAACAGGGCCTGTTTTCTTGTACCTCTCCACAGTCAAGTATGTCCCCATTTAGTCTTTGTAAGATACCTTTAAATTGCTTTCAAGATGCATCATAATCTCTTCCAGTATATTTTGGCAAACTAACCCCTAAAGACAGAATAGTTATTGTTAATTTTCTCTGGTTTTGTTCCAATGGATTCTTAATACAAGTTTCAATCTCATTGCAATAATTTCATGATATCCAGATGAAGTCATCAACCTTTACTCATCAATCTATATTTTATTTCCCTTTCATACATTTTTCAAGCCTGTTAAGCACAAAAAGTAAAAGCAGACATTTGTGAGGGACGTTTGCTCCAGGAAATGTTTGGTTTCAATGTCAGCCATTGGGCTCTTCACTCCTCATTCTCCCCCCCAGCAAACCTTTCCAGACTTTCCAGTTGTTATGAAATAATAATTTTGGGATCTTAGAAATATACATTACTTAGATTTGAAAATATTAGAAATTAACAGGTGTGAACTTTGTGCTTCATTTCTTTCTACCTTTTTAATCTTTGTATTCAGAGCAGGCACTAATGGTCACTTCCCAGTTCATCCCAGACTAAACTCATGAATTTTACCACATTTTTGTTTGGTGCGGTTCCGGAAGTAGTAACAGATTATTACTATTCCCAGTTTTCAGCTTGATTCTTGCAATTTTAGTACTGGCTATGTAATTGATAATGACATTTTGCAGAAGTTTCCTACTTCTGTAGGAAAGTATGTGCTTTTTTGTTTGTAATAGAAAGGAATGTCTGCATTTCTAAAAGGTTAGAAATTTGAGGTAAATATATTGATTCACATCTCTTTGAGAAATCATTTCTGAGGAAAAAAGAAAAAAAACAAAATTTTTAAATAGTTTTAAACTTTCATTGAAAGAACTGTATCTCTCTGTGTGTGTGTGTGTGTACGGGTGTACATATATATGGGTATGCGCACATGTGTATGTGTATGTGTGTGTGTGTGTGAGAGAGAGAGAGAGAGACTTTGTGTCATCCTCCTAAAATATACTACCAACTACACAAACATTTGATGAAGAGAATAAAGTGTGAGGTATGAAAAAGTCTGTTTTTGTGTTCAAAGTGAGTCCTTTTTAATAGTTGAATTGAACAATGATAGACCGCTACTCAGTTCTTAAAATGACAATTGATAGTAAAAATTATAAATGGAATGCAAGCTTTCTGGACAAAATAACTAGATTGCTGCTGCATATTCAGAAAGATGAGCAAAAAATCTGCAGCAGCTGAAAAGAACATAGAAAGTTGCCTATCTAGACCGGGATATGATTTTTAATGCTCTAAAAGCCTGAATCAAAATGTACATGGCATGCCCTAAGAATAGATGTATTTTGAAGGAAGCCAAAGCTTCCAGTAATAACTACCAGTAGATTCCTGTCTCAAAGATCAGGTCCATGTCATGGAAAATTCTTATCTGAGCAAACAGAGTTAATCTGATTATTGAATGTCCATACTGTACAACCTTCTTTCAAATTCTTATTTCAGAATAGAAAGAATAGCATTTGTACAATTCAGATTAGCATTCCAAAAGAAAATCCTGTATACCAATGTAACAGTGTTGATTTAGAAAAGGAGAAAGAGGTACAAACAGGAGTAATCAAAGTTTTGGCACATAATGTCCAAATCTTGTTATGGGTGACAGTTCTTCCAGGTATTAAACTGTTCTAAGATAACCTAATTGATGACACTAATATCTTCATTCATTATTACAAAAATGGAGCATATTATGATAGGAGGACTTATTGAATGCTTGGAAATTTGGTATTTTGGAATCTTTGTTTACTTTTTTAAAGGAATACTTTAATTCAACCTAGTGCTATTAAAAGTACAGAGCCAAATCTGATTTAAAAATGGGCAATTTTAGGGCAGTAAACACAGTGGATTTTCAACAACGTGTAACCAAAGGAGTATGGCCAAGTGATCTTTGATGAGCATGAGTAGATACTATTGTTTTCTCTATAAAAGGCTGTCAGAGAACAATTTTCTACATGAAAGCATTTCAAGGCCAGTTTCAACATAAAGATCAATTGGGAGACGTATCAAAAGCTTTAAGGTCATCTATTCATACTGGTCTCATTCTTTCCCACAATGACTAGGAGTATTACATTTTTTTAAAAAAACTGTTACATTTCAAAACATAGCAATTATTTTTAAATGTGCATCTGTGCATGTTTATTGCCTAATTAATGAAACATTTGTGTGATGACCTAGCAGCTAATCTTATTTCAAAATGTTATGCAGAATTGGATCTGGTTAGTAATTGTGTGAGGGGTCACTAGGAAGGCCCAAGGCTGTAAGTTAGACTGAGAAGTCAAGAGAAGACAACAAATCACTTTTGTATGGTTGTCAAGAAAAATGCAGGGTTGACCTTGGCTCAAGACAAACTTACTTTTTTCTAATTAGTCGCTTATATAAAAGATGGTTAAAATGTATAAAAGTGCCCCTTTTAGAATAACATTCTATTTTTGTTTATTCATTATTAATTTTCTTCTTCTCTAAATTCTTGTTCACCTCAACTTTTCAGTTCGTTCAATTCTAAAAAAAACCCACATCCATAATGTTTGTTTTGATTTCTTAAGCTTGCCAAGCTAATGTAATTCTTGTTGTCTTTTTAAAATTCATTTGTGTGTGGTATGTGTAAAATGAATTGTTCCTATCCTCATTTTACCTCAGTTCAATGTATATTATGTTATTCATGTTTAGAGTCTTGCAGTGTTTCACGTTTGTGTTTGCTAGAGTCAACACTGTTTCATGTTTTCAACCTTTACCATAGAAACGGGAGGCCTGTAGCCTTCCAGGTCATGTTGGAAGCCAACTTTCATCAGCCAACCAGGTCTAAAAGAATATTGCAAGTAGTACTTCATTAACACTTGAAAAGCCACAGATGCTTCCTCCAACTGTATGCATGATTAAGGTTGAATTATGTAACCATCAAGCAGATGCTAATCCAGACATAAATTATTGAACTTTTCCCCCTCTCTCTTTCTAGGTCATTGGCCATGCTGACTGAGGATGGTGGGACTTGCAGTTCAATGCAGCTGGAGGGCACTTAGTAGGTGAAAGGTAACTCACCATCATTAAGCAAATAGTAGATAAAGCATTATGCAGTAAAGGCCCCTCCCCACTTTGTTTCCAGTCTTTTATATTTTATTAAATTGTATACTTTATTTAAAAATAAACAGTTCCAAATGAATTTTCCAGAGAACATTGGAAGGTGAAGTGGGCATATAGATTGCATTGCTTAGAAAGGACCAGTTAAAAGTCATTTGAATTCTGACTCAATTTGTAAAATCTCCTCTTGCACATATTTCTGATTTGCCCCGTTTGCATTTCTATGGGAAGGAACAGAAATTTTAAATGGATCAGAACACTTGGTATTAACTTACTTAGGGAGTCATGGATACCAAGAACCAGGATGAGACTGAGATTAACTGTACATGTTTGAGAAAGCTAGAGCTATTTTCTCCTGAAGAGTTTGTATGCAACAAATAATATACATGCAAATTATATGCCACTGCCAGAACTCTCTATGACACTGAGAAACACCAGTTTCATTCAGCTTGCTAATATTTGCAGCTTCCTTGTCCTGCAGCAATATTATTGGTCTCTCTGCTACTGCTGGCAGTTTAGCAAAACATGTCCCATCTTATCTTAGTGTGTCACATCTGTTGCTGCTTTGTCACAGTTTTAAGCCACAGAAAAGAGAAGTGTGAAAATGAGGAGAAATGACCTTGGTTCTGTTCTAAATTCAGGATATTTAAAACCAATTGATAACTGCATGGCAGGAAGCTTGGATTGTCCAACACCAGGCAAGTGTCATGTCTATATATATTCAATAGTTGGTAGAAGTACAGTAGGGATTTTCCAACCAAAAGCTTGTGCTAGAGCAGTAATGAAACATTTAGGGAATATAAGTGGGATGAAAATCAAGATGGCAGTTCAGATGGCTGATTCCCTACGGTATGAGAGTGCATCCAGAGGAATGGAGACTTGCAATCGATCCAGATCCATATGGCTCCCAAACTCCATCATTGGTATGACTCCTGCATCATCCTTTGGACCTCCTCCCAAATCTACTCCAACATCCAAGTCATCCTCCTCATCTTCATCCTGGCTGACAAGAGCCAATTCATTCTCATAGCAGAAGGCACTAGGAGGTGGAGGAGGTGAAGGCAGGATGGTAATTTTGCTCTCCTGCAATTCCCGAGCAGAACAGTAAGGAGTTCCAGCCACCTCATAAGTCTTGTGGAAACGTGAATAGTCCACCTTATAATGTTTCTTCTCCTCAAAGACAACAGGCTCAAAACGATGGCCCCAAAGGATTTCACTAGCCAAGTAGGAGCTACGAGCCTGAGTGGTCATGGCTGTTGCTTCCACCATACCCTCAAGGATAACAACAATCTCAAAATCCTCTCTCTCCAGTTCTTCCTTGCCCATCCCATAGAGTGGACTTTCTTCATCGATCTCATGAACAATAATAATGGGAGACACTAAGAAGATACGATCAAGGCCGATGTCATAGCCCACATTCAGATCTCTCTGGTCTACTGGAAGATACTCACCTTCTGCTGTCATATAGGGTTTTATAAGCTGGGCCCGAACATGAGCTTCCACAATATGGCTCCTCCTTAGATTCCCCACCCGCCACATGAGGCAGAGTTTGCCATCCCGCAGAGAGATGACAGCATGATGGCTGAAGAGTAGGGTTTGGGCCCTTTTCTTGGGGCGTGCCATTTTTGCCATGATGGTGCCAATCATGAAAGAATCAATAACACAGCCTACAATGGATTGCGCCACAACCACCATGATAGCTAGTGGGCATTCCTCAGTCACATATCTAAAACCATAACCAATGGTTGTCTGGGTCTCCACTGAGAAGAGGAAAGCTCCCAAGAACCCGTTGACATGTTTGATGCAGAATTTTGTAGCAACGGAACCACTCCCTGCACCTGGGACATCTAAGTCACCATGAAAGAAGGCAATGATCCAAAACAGCAGACCAAAGAATAGCCATGAGACCAAGAAGGCTGCTGAAAAGATCATGAGCATGTAGCGCCAACGAGTGTCCACACAAGTAGTGAAGATATCAGCCATATAACGTTGAGATTTGTTGCTTAGGTTAGCAAAGTAGACATTGCACTGGCCATTCTTTTTGACAAAACGGTTACGTCGTTTCCGTCGAGGGGCATGACCTTTCCCATTACGACTCTGCTCATTAAGACTGCCAAGGGAGGAGACTTTGTGTCCATCCTCTTCAGTGGAAACAATGCTGTACCTTATGAACAGGGGAAAAAGTGATAGTTAAAGGTGGAAGACAAGTTGTGATTTCTCAAAAGATCATTTTAAGCACTCATACACCCAAATCTAGTACAGGTGTACTCAACTTACAACAGTTCATTTAGTGATGGTTTGAAGTTCAACGGCACTGAAAAAATTATTTATAGCCATTTTTCATGCTTATGACCATTGCAGCATCCCATGGTCACGTGATCAAAATTCAGATTATGACAATTGGTTCATATTTATGATGGCTTCAGAATCCTGGAGTCATGTGATCACCTTTTACAACCTTCTGTCAAGCAAAGTCAATGGAGAAGCCAGATTCACTTAACAACCATGTTACTAACTTAACAAATGCAGTGATTCACTTTAACAACTGTGACAAGAAAGGTTGTAAAATGAGGCAAAAATCATTTAATGAATGTCTCACTCAGCAATAGAAATTTTGGGCCCAATTGCGGTTATAAGTCGAGGACTTCCTGTATCTCATTTTTTTCAACCACCCTAGATGTTTAATCCTTCTATATATGACCCTTTACAGATGTGGCATGCACACTCTAGATTTAGCATTACTAAGAAAATCATATAGCACTGGCATTCATGTGTACTGTGCAAACATTCAGAAGGGTGAATCACTCTAAATTCAGAATACCTGCAATTAAAATAATGTTCTATTCTGTGCAGTTTTTGATGATTATCTTTAAAAAATTACTGCAGATATTATATTTGGTATGAGAGAGAGAAAAAAAAGCCATTAAAATAATCTTAAAAATAGGAGTTTTAGGACTCACCCCCATATAAGTCTTTAAGACATATGAGTTATTCTCTCTGCAGTGTTACAGCATGTTTGATTAAAAGCGTTTAAAACACTCTCCATATTGTCCGAATCAAAAATCTTTGTTTAAAGCAATGAAGAATAATGCTGTATTAAGAGGTCCACTTAGCTGTTCAAGACATTTGATTTCTTGGATTGTAATAATAATAGAATAACAGAGTTAGAAGGGATCTTGGAGGTCTTCTAGTCCAACCCCCTGCTTAGGCAGGAAACCCTGTATCATTTCAGACAAATGGTTATCCAATCTCTTCTTAAAAACTTCCGGTGTTGGAGCTGTTACAACTTCTGGAGGCAAGTCGTTCCACTGATTAATTGTTCTAACTGTCAGGAAATTTCTCCTTAGTTCTAGGTTGCTTCTCTCCTTGATTAGTTTCCACCCATTGCTTCTTGCCCTACCCTCAGGTACTTTGGAGAATAGTTTGACTCCCTCTTCTTTGTGGCAGCCCTTGCTATCATGTCACCCCAGTCCTTCTTTTCATTAAACTAGACACACGCAATTCCAGCAACCATTCTTTATACGTTTTAGCCTCCAGTCCCCTAATCATCTTTGTTGCTCTTCTCTGCACACTTTTTAGTCTCAACGTTTTTTTTTACATCGTGGTGATCAAAACTGGATGCAGTATTCCAAGTGTGATCTTACCAAGGCATTATAAAGTGGTATTAACACTTCATCTGATCTTGATACCATTCTCCAACCAAAAAATAAAATATAAATCAGTTGCTTCCAAGATTTAACCTGTAATTAAGCAGGACCTACTAGAGCAGACTTCAGGTGTACTAGACTACAATTCCCATTGTACCCAACCAAGATTATCATTGTCACAGTGGCTATAGTTGATGGGAGTTATATTCCAACACATCTGAGGACACAAAGTTGGGATAGATGAAGCCATATGAATACAGTTTTGTAACACTTTAGCTCAGAATTGCATAAGGCTGGAAGTTTCTATTTTCTGTTCGGTTTGCATTTGTTGATCTAATCGTGCATCTGTGACAATGTTTATACACTTCCAGAGTTCTAGACAATTCTGTTGCTACAGCAACAAGTATGTTTCCCAGCATCCCATATCTAAAACCTAAGGTGTAATTAGAGATCAAGAGACAACGGGTTGCCAGATATCCTGAAAGAAACTCCCTCTCCTCAAGAGCTGTGACTTGCTTTTATCTCCTTCTTCAAAATTTTCCATTCTCTCTGTATTCATTTTTCCCATAGTTGAGAAGAGCTGCTGGGTGGTTTCATTACAGAAAGTTCTGCCTGACATCATTTGAATATAAGATGCAGTCATAGCAAATATCTATCATTGAGATCTTAAAGTACTGTGGCAGAGATAGAGAAGAGATCTTAAAGTACTGTGGCAGAGAGACAGAGAAGAGACAATGTATAAGAGATTAATTGCCAAAACTTTTCTTTTTGTAATGCCAAATATCTTAAGATCAAACTATTTCTATTTGAAAACTATTTGTTTTCTTTGCTGTTTGTTTCAGCAGAACACTTTGCAAACTTGACTGAATTTCCAAGCAGAAGTGCTTATATCATGTTGTTATAGAATTACTCTTTCCTCAGATCAAAGATATAATGCCATAAATTTAAAACAGTAGTTCTTGGGCTTGGGTTAGGGCAGGCCAGGAACAAAGCCAGACTGATATATCAGCAAGTTTCAATCATTCATGTATTGCATTACTGTGATTCATTCTATGATTCGTTTGATTTTGACAGTCTATTGCAACCTCTATTTATTCATTATACTATTTATATAAACTAGAGCTTAGTGAGATGTGAGCCCTTGATCTTACTGTCTTTTTTTCAATGCCGTGTCTCTTGATAGCAGATTAACAGACTATTTTTGCTGAGACATAAATCCTGCAAGGTTGAAACAAGATTCATTTCTAGATGAACTTGATCTGGATAAGCTTCCATGGGATATCTAGCATGGTGGGCGGTGCTTTTTGCAAAAGTAGAGAAGGTGGTTGGGCATATCCACCAGTCCTGCTTTCTCTGCCATCCCATGTTGTTCGACTATCAGCCTGTACTTTTATTTAGGGTTCTTGCTTTCTAGATTCAGCTATAGAAAGCCACTTCTATTCAAACAGGTATGTAATTATCTCTATTGAGCATTTTCATGACCATAGGCCTTTAATGTTGAAACTAAAGAACTCAAAGATCTTCCTTATGAGAAAAAGTTTAAAGTTTAGGACTGTTGAGCTTAGAAAAAGTTTAACAAAATGGGGACATAATTGAGATGCATGGAATTATGGAAGACATGGAGAAAGTGGACAGAATAAAGGCTTTCTCTCATTTTCAAAACACCTGGAATTGGGTCATCCAATGAAATTAATTGAAAGGAGATTTAGAGTAAACAAAAGAAAATGATCTTTTGTGCAGTGTGTAGTAAAATGCATCTTTATACTTAAACCTATGCAGAATTAATTATATATGACATCGTAATGACCGCTAACTTGGATATATTAAAAAGGAGATTGGATAAATTCATAGAAGACAGATCTATTGAGTACTCATTTTTTTTTTTGAGTAGGGCAGCTATAACAAATAATAAGAATATATGCATAATGTGTACCACTCCAATGAAAACTCTCCTAGCAAAAGAAATCGTTTACATCCAGCTACTGAGGTAGAGAGAATCCAGCTCAGAATGGCCAGAATGTTATTGTTAAACCTAATTCAGATATATCCCCTATACTGATTGCAGATCATTCCCATGAAACAATGGGACTATTAAATTGCAAACCAAGCTCAATTAGCCCTAAACCTCCACAAATTTATTGGCTTTGGTTATACAAGGTTAATCACCGGGTCAGACGTAGCAGTGGCATTTGCAAAATATGAATTATCATTAGGTTTTTATGGCTTATATGGTATAAGCAAACTAAGAAAATGGGTTAGTTATATAACATAGTTAAGCATGTTGAGCAAAATCAGTCTTCCCATGAATACGTTCTAGAATCGTTTCCTAAAATTGATTTGATTACCATTTGGCTACTCAAATATTAAAAGTAATTTAAGTAAAAAATATTCATACCTAAGTCTTACAGCTATTCAAAGGTTCTGGAGTTCCCTACCAATGGCAACCTACTATGAGAGGCTGTGGGAAAGCAGGAGATGAGGCACTTGAGCATTCATCCCACAAAAGGCAACTCAGGTCAGATTTTACAGGGAAAAATGTTTCAAAGACACTCTATCTTAATTAAATTACTATAACTGGAGATTTGTATTACCAACTAGACTTGATCACAACCCTGAACCTTCAAATATCTCATCCCCCACCTTCCCACAACCTTTCACCACTTGATCAGCTCCATTCTATTGAGTGGCAAAAGCATTTTTATTTAGACAAATCTTTGCCTTTTAAGATGATGTGGTTGTCAAGGATGAGGTCTGGGGACTACTTATTTTTTATTGTTTTGAATCAATGTTTTAATTACAATTTTGCATATTACCCTATATTAATACTGTTAACCTTCCTGGAGGTTATTTACAATAATAATAATATCAACAACATGAGTGTGTGCATGTATGTTCCAGAGAGAGAGAGACAGGGACAGAGAGAGAAATTGGATTTAAGTCCTAAATACAAGATTCCCTGGCATACAGTACAATTCATGTGGCTAGAACCTATTTTGTAAGTTCCATCCATCCTGTCCCTCAGGATATCACTTGTAGACATTTTAAATACCTAATTGTACAGTAAGGGTGGGAAGCCATACAGCCCACAGAAAATTAAGGTGACTACAAAACAGGAAAAAATGGATGGGAGACGTTACTCACCTGTTTACCCGGATGCTGCCCATGACTCGTTTTATCATGAGGTACTTCTTATTATAAAGCTGAACAGCTTCCGATCTTGTGTGTGATTGGGAGTATCACACACCGGACACACACAAATGGTGTCCCAAGGCTGTAAAAGCTTCGGTTCCTTTCATGAGGGAATAGATACCTAGATTAGAACAAAAAATTCAGAAGAAAAATCACAGCAACTAAAATAAAAAGCCCTAATCAATAAAACCCCAGTTGTATTGTTCTCTCTATTTATTCATTTTTCATCTTTCCTCTAGCACGGAATTCAGGAAAGAATACATAAGCTATGTTCCTACAACTTGTTAAACCCCAAACCTGGATAAACAAAACACATTTGCAGTGTTACATAACATGCATCACCCAAACAGATAATCCATGTTATAGATTTAATGTGATGACTTAGCTCACACAATATGTGATGCCAATGAGTGGACATTGGGAGACAAGCCACCGCCCCCATTTCCACATATAAAACCAGTGGCAACACAGCCATTGAGTTTATCAGCCAGAGGCTCTCCTGGGTTGGACTTCAGAGCCAATTCTGGAAGCACAAGGTCAGAGATGGACTCAAAGAACTGTTTAATGAAAAGAACAAGTAGCAATAGGCAATAAGGAAAGCACTGCAAGTGAGCAGCTCTATACGGTGTAATAGCTATTGCTATGGAATGTGCATGTGTGTCCTCCCCCTCACATTTGGTTTTGGTATGTAGGAACACTGCCAATCAAAACCACCTTGTTGTCTGTTGAAGAAGGTGGGAACTTAAAACCTATTTCTTTCAGTTAGCCGGGCTGTCCTGATTTTATGGTCTTAAAATTTGAAATTGGTTTTAAATTGAAATATTTTAAATTATGGGCCAAACTTATTTAATTATTTTAAATCTATTTTAACTTTTGTATACAAATGTTTTACTTTGGCTGTTCACCGCCCTGAGTCCGAAAGGAGAAGGGCGGTATAGAAATCTGATAAAATAAATAAATAAATAAATAAATAAACTTCTGTAGTGTCTGCTGACCTGGACAACATAAATTTCGTGCTAAAAATAATAATATCATCCATCATTGACATTGACAAAATCCCCAGCTGCCTTACAAAAGGCAGATTTACTTGGAACAGTTTACATCCTGCGATGATATCTTTAATATTATTAAACAACAACTTCTGCTTATCTCAGGATCTTGGGAAGGACTCTATAGATCAGGGGTGTCAAACTCAATTTCATCGAGGGCTGCATAAGGATTGTGTTTGATCTTGGGGGGGGGGGGGGGGATTGGGTGTGGCCCAGGGTGGGCATGGCCAGCTTGATGTCACCTGTGTCAGGAGTGCCTGTAGTGGCCCGAGCGCTCTGCCAGCAAACACGGGCTTCCAAACTCCGTTTTCAGCTGCCACGGCCTCCTGCAGCAAAAATGGAGCTTGAGAGGGCTGCCTGCGGCCCTCCCGAGCTCCGTTTTCACCGACAGAGGCACCACTGGCCAATCCTTTGCTGTTTCCAGGGCAGCCCCGCAGGCCTGATCTAAGCACCCCGTGGGCCGGATCCAGCCCGCAGGCCTGAGTTTGACACCCCTGCTATAGATGAACAAAATGCCAAATCCAATCTGGCTGACTAGGAAGCAACCATAATAATAAGCTTCCTGCTTCCAGGCCTTTTCTTTAATGCAATGAATATCATGTGGGAATGAAGGGAAGAGGAGAGGGAGGCAAAGATTCCAGGGTGATAAGAAACTAGGACAGCAGTGGCAAAATAAATAGTATGGGAGGAAACAAGTAGGGCAGAAAAGCACAGATTCACCTCAAATCTTGAAAGCCATTTTTCCCAACAGTCTCATATCTAAGTATATCAGATCTAGACCTTCCTGGCTTCAGAGTTTGTTACATCTTGTGCTTCCCCGATCTATGGCTAGACGTTTAGGCATTTTTACTGCTGAGACTTAAAAAAAAAATAGTTTAGTCTCAACTGCTTCACAATGCAAATTATTATTATTATTATTTTGAATGGTTTGGGATGGTGTTTTAAATGAACAATAGGTTGTCTTAGAAAGTAGTTCTAGATTAGGATTCTAGTTTACATAATAAAGTGTGTGTAAATATGGGATGAAACAAGGTTTTAAATTATATTTAATGCAAACTGGCCAAAATGAGCCTAAATAACTCATACAGTCCTTTCCATTACCAGGGAAAGTGTCACAAATACGTTGGTATCTTGACAATGATGCTATCCATTCAATCATGTCCAGTTCTTAGTGATTCTACGGACCAGCTATTTCCACATTTTCTGATTTTATGTGGCTTCTTTCAGTTGTTTTATGCCTTGGCTGATGCCAGCTTTGATGATGTCCAGCCACCATGCGTTTTTTTTTGGCCTCGCTCCTTTTACTGCTGACCATTCCAAACACAACTGCCTTTTCCACTGAGTTTGGTCACATGACATGACTGAAATAAGTAAGGCAGAATTTTGTGATTTTGCTTTCCAGCATTCTATTACAACATACTTTATCTTGTTATGTGAAATGTTGGTTGACCACAGACGTCAGTATCTATGGTATCATCTGGTGATGACTATGGAACATAAAAGACTAATTTGGAATGTGCATGAAGTAAAGATCATGAATTAATGAAAAAATGAATGAAAGTAATCTGACCCTGTGTGATGGAATATATTGTATAAATACATGCAGGGAAGTTTAGGTGATGGTTTAATTATGAACGAAAGAACTCAAATGTGTATCAACAAATATGAATGGTTGACATCTAGGTTCTTGTGGTTAATTAGGTAGAGGGTACATGTGAAAGTAGGAATACATATAAACTGATAATAGTTGCATGGTATAATCCAGTGAGAGTGATACTGGAAGAACCAATAATGAGTTTTAGGGGGAAATTCTGCAATATTTTGAATGAACGTAGTCAGGGAGGGGGAGGAATATATTCTGCTAGGTGATGTGAATGGGTAGATGGAAGTGAGATGTGAGTTCAGAAAATGATTTGGCCATTCAGAGATTGTTGACGACTATTGGTGAATAGTGGCTATTCCAATAGCATCTGTTTATAATACTTGGTATGAACATAAAGCTATTCATATGTCTATGGAAAAAGAAATAAATGAACAGGATTGATTCGATTATGTGGAAAGAATGAGAGACTGGTAAATAATATAATAGTGATAAAAGATTCTGAATGTGACACAGATCATTTTTTGGTAGAGTCAAAGTGGATCTCTGAACAAAAAAACGGAAGAAATAAAAGTAGGACAACTACAGTAAGAAATAATAAGGAACTTGTATGCATGAATAAGTGAATAGATGACAGAGATAAGATAGATAGATAGATAGATAGATAGATAGATAGATAGATAGATAGATAGATGATGCTCAGACAGACATTACATTAATCTTCCAACAGAATGCATGTAAAGTGAATGTAAGAAATTGAGTTACCAATAATGCTTGGAATAGAATGAAAAGAATTATTTTACAGAATGCTAGAACAGTATGTGACATTAATGAGATGTATGAAAAAGATGTGAAAGGAAGAAATGAAAGAGCCTATGGCTGAGAAACTGTCATATAAAAGAATAGCTGCTTTCAAAAATGAGGATTAGGGAAAATACTGTGTAATATTATAAAGCAACATAATATTACTGTATAATATTATAAAGCAAAAAAAAAAGATTTGCAAAGAATATAATCAAAAAGAGCAAGGAATAGTTTTGATTTCCAAAAATGCAGAGAAAATGCAGAATGATTTTAATGGAAATGTTTAAAAATTATTTTGAAAATGAGTGAAGATGTTTGAAGAAGCTGCCTCCAGATTTTTTTAAATAAAAAAGTGAAAACTATCATAAAATTAAAAGTGACAAGAATCTGAATGATTTGCAGTGAATATAGAGAAACTGTATGATGCAACAAGGATTTACAGATTTGAAAATTAAAAACCAAAATAGTCTTGAGAAATGAATTAAACTACCTCAAGTTATATAGGAATGATAGGCTATCATAGCAAGTATGTTTAATGGGGAAATGGATGGAGACATTTTAATGCATGCCTATGGTAGAAAAATAATAGGTTGTATGTAGTTTATTGCAAAGAACAAATGTTTCTTGAAAGGAATGAAAATTAAGATTGAATCCAAAAGCAAATATAGAAGAAATGAAGGAGTCAAGGGACAGAGGGAAACTGAGAAAGTCATTATTGGATGGAGTTGATGAGATTTTCAAAGAGTGAGAAGCTTCAAGAACAAAAGAGGTGAATAGTAAAAGCTTTGGTCTGCAAGGAAAGAAAGTTATGGAGAAGATTAATGCTAGATTTAATTATATTTCCTTTTCTTTTTCTTATAAGAAGACTACTATCTTTTCATAGATTTTCTTTATTTCTCACCATGGATTTGGTTCCTTTTTAAACTGACATAATAAGTCAGTTATGTTGACTCCACCAAAGGCTGCAAATTATATGTGGATGATAATGGGAAGCAGACTTAAATCTGAATTAGTTCTCATGAGAATTCGATATTATGGGATAATATCTAGGAAATGGAAATGGAAAATTTCTAGGAAATCTTTCTTTTGGAGTTCTTCGACAAAAATGGCAGTGTTATGTTGGATTAATCAGTATTTTAAAATATTTTTCTCTTTGCAAAAAGAATCTGGGTTACTTAAAACAGGTCAATTGCAATTCATTCAACTCAAATATCCTTTGGCTTTAAAATTTGAGACTGATGCTTTAGCAGTGTCCCAAATTCTATAATATTAATATTACTAGATAAAAATTTGGAGGTTCCAGAATGTTGAATTATTTGCTACGGGAAACCTGCAGGTAATTTGGGACAATGAGTTGAAATAGCTTTAACAAATCAAAAGGCAAGGGTTTTAAATAAAATAAAATTGATATTGTGTGATCTCAAATATAATTAACACAACAAAAAAATTTGTATGTTTATAGGTATCCTGTAATCTAAAATGTAACTACACATTAATTAATATAAGTTAATATTTTGGGTGCTTAGAGGTCACCATAGAAGAGATGTAATAAAAGTTTGGCTTCAAACTTTATTTTAGAAGTGTAACATTTTGGAGGGAATGATGACTCATAAATACTTGTTGCATAGTTACCATTTTTATTTAATATTCATAATATTAATATGGAGTCAAGGAAAACAAAAGTTAAAACATGAATGTGTAATCCAAATGTTTGGACACTATAAAAGTATGATAAACTGGATTATCTTTATTTACTTTTATTTAAAAGCAAGTGTTGTGTTCTGCTGGCAGCCTGCGGAGCTGGCAGCAGAGTCAATCAGTGAGGTGGGCCAGTCCTGGAGTCTGGGGAAGGCTCTGATGAGGGCTCTGCGTCGGAAGCAGAAAGGGGGCCAGGGCCATCTGGGAGTTATGGGCTGCCTCCAGAGCCTCCAGAATCAGACATCAGCAAGGCAGAGGAACAGGGTGAGCCTGTTCCCAGTGCGCACATGCACAGAGCTGCCAGAAGACAAGAACAGTTAAGACAAAAGGGACAACTCTGGAGTAGGGCTTGGAGATGATTGGCCCCTCCCATAAGACATAAAGGCATGTGAGCCTTTGCAGGAAGCAACTTTCTTAGTTCTGGTTGATTTAAATTCTGAAGTTCCATTTTGACTCTGCTCCATGTGGCCTTGTGAAGCTAATTGCCAATTAGGTCTTTGGCAGCATGTCAAGGGAGATAAAGGTGGGTGCTTATCAGCCTTATCCCGAAGGACTGTGGCAGACGTCTGTCGGACTCTTTGCAGAGTATTTGTGACTCATTACGGGCTGCGAATGAACATAATTCAGAGCCGTTGAAATAAAAAGAGGGTTTGGGGGATTAATTGTGTGCTTTTTACTGTCTCAGAAAGCCTAGGTCAGAACAGCAAGTTAAAAATATTTTTAACAGATTGGACAACCATTTGTCTGAAATGGTATAGGGTTTCCTGCTTGAGGAGGGGGTGGGACTGGAAAACCTACAAGGTTTCTTCTAGCTCTGTTATCCTGTTAAAAAAAATCATGCCAACCATGCTGACCAGAAGCTCTGATAGCAAAGGATGGGCCCTTAGCACCATGAATCCTCATATATATAAAAAAGCTTGGAAACAATCAGTCTCTGAGGTTTAAAGTGAGAATAAGCTTTGGAAATATGGTTATAAATATCAAGTCCAGCAGACCAATTCAGTAACAACATTTTCTGCACTGGAAATAGAACCACTGAGAGTGACAAGAGGCAACTAGGATCTGATTAGCTTTTCCTGACCTGGAACTATATTTCCTACTGGAACTATATTTCATCCCATTCTAGATAAAGGAAGGCACAACAAAAACAATGCAACATTCTAAGATACCACAATGCCAGGATTTTATAACTATGATTAACTGAATGAGACATTATGGCCTAATTTGCATGCTTTACTTATAATGAGTTGGATTGTACGTTACATCAAGACAAAAGACTTAATAAAACTTTTTTTGGAGGGGAATTATGTTAAATCCATAATGTCCATTGAATCCATTTGCATAATGAAATAATTGAAGTTCTTACATCATGACGTACATTGACATAAATGATGTAAAACATCAATTATGTCTTTAGAAACAATGAACCTGTGCATTCTTTTGGGGATAAAGAGTGAATGCAAATTCAGTTCTTGTTAAAAGTCTGTTTTCAAAAGGTCCATTTAATAAAAGTTTATGTTTTTTATTCCACCCAAGGAATGGAGTTCTATGGATAGATTACAAAGTGAGACAAAACACTGAAAAACTAAAACAACAAAAACAATTTTAAAAGGTAGACTACACAGGAAAAGTGTTACACAAAAAGTCATTATTCCATTGTCACGCAAGCATTTAAAATCAAAACTCATTATAAAAAGGCTGGGAAGAAACACACAGGTGTCATGTACGTATCATAATCACCTGGCTCAAATCAGATTCCTTTGAACAAAACTGGAGCCATGTTTTTATTGTTTGCATCTATCTTCCACCATATTCCAGAGCTCCCTGGAGGGGCTTACTTTGAGTATGGTTTAGTATTCTCAAAACAAAAATTTGGGGGCTGCTCAGTAAAGTAAAATATCGTAATTGTGTCCCAGCCTTTTCACCAGGGAGCTGGAAAAGAGCAGCAGACAAGAGCGCGCAGGATGGGTCTATGACAATTTGCCATGGTCAACTTGTCACGGCTAACTCACCATGGCCAACTCGCCACAGCCAACTTGCTATGGTCAACTCGTTGCAGGACAACTCGCCACAGGACAACTCACTGCAGGACAAGAATTACACTAATATCAAAGTAATAGTAGAAAAGAATAATTGAAGGATGCAAAAGGAGGGACAGAATGAAATGTGAATGGCAAAAATTAAAATAAATCTTATTTTAAATAATTAAATAGAATTGTTAAATTGTCCCGTAGCGAGTTGTCCCATGGTGAGTTGACCATGACAAGTTGTCCTGCAGTGAGTTGGCTGTGGTAAGTTTGCCATGGCGAGTTGGCTGTGGCAAGTTGTCCCATTCCATGCAGAACTGAGTAGAGGAAGTTCATCTGCTGTAATGGGCAATAAGCATGGGCTGCCAACCCTGACCCCACAGATAGTCTACAGACATACACCAGATTTTATCTATACTGAAACTGTGTTAGTTGCCACCAGCTTGAGCAGAAAAATGCTACAGCAACACTGGAAGGGTTAGTACAACTTAGTGTTGACTCATTCATGCATTGAAGTGAGGAAGGCAATGTCATATGGAGACAATGCAGAACAAAGATCCTGATAAGGCACGTTGCAAGCCAATCTATGCTAAGGTGACTTTTTTATACAATGGTAGAACATCTTGTTACTTGTATAGCCCAAAGTGCTTTTCCAAATTATTTTTCCAACATTGTTTATTCCCCAATATACAATTTTTTCCAGGCACTGGGAAACAATAATTTATAAAAGACTTGCACACTTACACAGCTGTGTAGTTGTAAATAAATATGCACCTTAGGGCAGGGGAGGGCAGGGGAGGACAGGGCAGGGCAAGGCAGGGAGGAGAGGAAGGAAGGAAGGAAGGAAGGAAGGAAGGAAGGAAGGAAAGAAGGAAGGAAGGAAGGAAGGAAGGAAGGAAGGAAGGAAGGAAGGAAGGAAGGAAGGAAGGAAGGAAGGAAGGATGAAATAACCTGCATGGCACTTCCAGCTCAATAATTAAGGGCTGTGATATGTGATCTCCTTATGAACATAAATGAGATGTGAACTTTCCCTTCTCTAATAGTTACAATACTATGTAAGTTGTCTCAAGATGGTTTGTTGCTTGAGGTGAAGAAGATAGTACCTCTGCTCCTTGGCAGCTGATGCAACTTCACCACTAGTGATGGGATCATTCTGTGTTACACTTCAGGAAGCAAGGGCAGGTCACATGGTGGACAACTTTGTATCAAATCTGCTGCTTAAAGCCACTATTTCCTTTGTCTAATATTATGTTTTGGGATTTGATACTTATCACATTTATATATTGGAGAAAATTGTTAAGGATGCCTTAGATGTAGGAACAACAAACCATTCAGTTCTAGATAGCATAACACAAGACTGCTCAGTGGAAGCCTTAATAATGAAGCTATGACTTAAATGCATGATGTGAAGAATAGAATCACTGGTGAAGAACCAATGATTAGAAACAGAAGACATTGTGGCTAGGTACTATCATAGGCAACACAACCATGTTCTGTTACAAAAACATGTTCTATTTGGTTAGTTCTGTTATAAGACCTAACAGAAGCAATTATTGCCAGACAATTCCTAGTAAAATAATATTGATCAGATCAGATGGCGGGGGGAAGCAGGAGTCTGATAACTTAGAAAAATTTGAAATTTTGCCACCAGATTAGCCTGGTTCTCCTCCTACAAAGAGTAGTAATTGAATAACTTAATAACACAATTATTGGTTTTGTTTTATATGGGGGATTAGTAGAGATTTTTGGTTGTACCGTGTCCAGCCTATACTAATTAGAGTGGTATCTAAAAACTGTGAAAGAAATAATAAATAATGACACGTCGTACCATAAATACAGAATACATTGCACAGTACAGGTAGTCCTTGCTTAATAACCATTCGTTCAGCAATCATACAAAATTACAACAGCGCTCAACAAATGGTATTTATGGCTGCCCCTCAAAGTTATGGCCATTGCAGCAGCCCCTTGGTCATGTAATCAAAATGCAGGCACTTAACAGTCTGCCCACATTTCTGACTGCAGCATGCACTTCAATTCCCACCTCCCACTATCTCCCCTCCACCTTTCCCCTTTTGGCTGCCTTCTAGTCTGCCCCCGTTTCTGTCCTACAGTCCACTGCCCCACCACCCCTGCTGCCCCAAGTTGACATTTGACATTTTTTTCCTCCTACTGCTGATAAGGCAGATTTGGCTTTGCCCTTTTAGAGCAAGCTTCTAGCCACACACAACCTTCCCAAGGCCTTGCAAAGGGCCAGGCCGAGCATGCCTCAGCAGCAGCAGCAGGAAGAAGACAGCAAAGGTCAGTTGGAGGCATCAGGGGCAGAGAGATGCAGGATGGTGGGGGTTAGAATGGTGAGAATGGTGGTGAGAATCAAACTGCTGACAATCAGCAGAATTAGCCTGCAATACTGCATTCTAATCACTGCACAACCACGGCTTTTAATATTAGTGCAATATCTTGAAAAGAATGCTCTTTCTCATTAGAAATACCTTTCCTCCCATTTCTTACTAAGCTCTAGATGAACATAAACTATGGAAGATAGGATTGAAGACTAGGAGTACAAAGCCCACCCCCAGCACCATAATGGCAACTTGGATGTCTCAGCCCTTTTTCTTTCAGCAACTATTCAATTAAGAAAAAAAAACCCACATATTTTCAAAACACATTAACTTTGATGCTAACTCTCAGTTTTGAACAGTCAACCGAAAGAAGTCCTGGGATCTATACATTTTGTACAATGTAGCTTTTGAAAGAGCAGCCAAGGCATTAAAGTATGAAATTAATATTCCATTATGTAATAAAAGTACTTCTGGGAAAAGAGAAAGGTTACTTATTTGAAGCCATACATTACGAGAGCAAATGGTTTAAGCCCCAAGAGCACTACAGGAGCATTACAGTCATAGGCAAGAGAGTCCCCTAAGTTTGTTCTTCTTCTTCTTCTTCCTTTTCAACTTCTGACATTCTACCCACAGATTTAAGCAGGTCAGCAACAAGTGTCAGTGTTTCTGCACCAAAGACCAACTGGTGAATCGTAGCATGAGCATGGTTGGTGACCCTCAGAAGATTTTGCAAAGCAATGTCCACATGCTGTTTCACTGCCCCCATATTAGTAGATTGGCCTGATCGCAGGCTTTCGTTCTCTACTTTGTAGCAAGTCAACTCTGCCTGAAGGAAGGACATTTCTTGTTTCAGCTTCTCAATATTGCTTTCTGCCTTCAGAGCTCTTTGGGTCATCGACTGAAGATTTTGCTCTGCCTGCTGCATCAATGCTTCCAAATCTTGAGCCTCTTTCTCCTCCTTGTTCATAGTGGCTTGCAGTGTCCTCTCAAGGTTTCGCACCATCTGGGTCTGACTTTCCGAGAAGTTCTGTATTCTTTTGATCTTTCTCCTCAGCATGGAGTTTTCCTCTTTAAGTTCTTGATAACTCAACTGTGAGGACACAAAATCCACTTCTTCAATAGGTTCTTCGTGGGAAGTGTAGCTTTCTGTGACTTTGGCATGAGAAGGGCACCCAGTGCAAGGGTCATTATCATTGAATGGCCATGAACAGAAAGTTTCCATTCCTGAAAGAATTGCTGAATTGTAATCAAAAGGATCACATTGTGTAACATTACAGATCCTGTATAAATGTGTTTTATCATAGGAAGAGGGTGGGAATTTTTCTCTCCAATCGTCATCATCATCTGATAAATGGGTAGAAACTGTTGCCTCCTTGTATAGCGGTTCCTGAAACTCCAAACTCAAGCCTAATGGTTCTGGAGACAGAGACACTTCTTCAAGGACAAGGTTCTGCCTGGACAATTTCTTCTTATTATTTCTGTTTTTTCCTTCATGTTGTCTTGATGTACCACGGTTTTTGTTTTTTACCAGCCCTTTTAAGGAAGATGCAGGTGGGTCATTTGAATTTTTCATCTGATTGTCTCCAGAGCTGCTATGATTCTTGACATGGTCTCCTGGAGTAGTTGGAACATGATGGTGAAAACAGGGCTGGATTTCTTCTTCATCATCTTTTAGGGCTCGGGCATGTGAGCAGCTGGCAAGAGGTGGCCGTGGCATTTTGGACAGACAACTGACATCTAGAACATTTGCATTCTTCCCAAGATAGCCCCAAGATAGCTCCCAGTTCTTCTCCACTGGTTAAACCAGCCCTGTCCACTGTAGAGCCAGTGGTGTTGGCTTCAACACTATTTAATGGCCTATTGAAGCATCTGAATTTAATCCTTGTATGTATGTGTCTCTTTAACAATGGAGGAAGCAGAAGTTACCATGATCTATGATGTCATCAGCTGTCAGTGCTTCATTTTGTGACTTCACAGGCTGGAGAGAAATGTATAATTAGAATAGCTCTCACAACATTTTTCTGCTAGCTGAAATGCTGAAGTGGAGTGCTGAGACCACTTGTAATGTGATCATATCCACAATTCCTTTAACCTTGAATAAATTACCATCCCTTCCCTATCTCCAGAACTAATACTGGCCCATTTAGAATATCTGATACTGACAGGTAGGTGAAACCTGATTTAATACAGGTTTCAGAAACTGCTCACCCTCTCTCTCTCTCTCTCTCTCTCTCTCTCTTTCTCTCTCTCTCTTTCTCCCTCCCTCTCTCCCTCCCCCCTCTCTCTGTAATGTCACTTTTATGTGAGTTGAACTGCTGTGTGACCCACAGCAGTTCAACTCACCCCTATCCTTGGAAATATTCAGCTGAGAATAACAATTTAAAAGAGATCTCTAGATTCCAACCACCCCACATTGTTGAGGATTCCCAAGAGAGAATCATTTTTAAGTTTATTTGGAGGTAAATCCAGAGGAAGAAGGAATTTACAGTATGTGGCATATATATTCAAATATTAATTTTGGCTGGTACAACTTCAGGCTGAAGTTAAACTTAGTTGCTGCTTTGAAAGAGTTTACTTTTGAACTAGAACAGGCTTAGGTTAAATCTGTCTTGACTAGAAATGATTTTTACAAGATGTTCTTCTCTATTCCCTTGCTTTTCTGTAATAGTGCCTTTGTTTTGTTTTTTCTTTCCAGCTTACGTTGTTATTCCACACTAAGTTGCATTCCTTCTCTAGACTCTAATAATTAAATCTCATCCTTTTTAGAGTGAAAATACAATAACCAAATACATGCCATTAAAACGATGCTTCTGTTTTTTTTATTATTAATTTGATCTAATTTTTATTTTTGTAAAATTCAAGGCAGTGTACATAATATTCCCATCTTCTATTTTTCTCAGAATAACAATCCAGGTGGGGATAACTCTCCCAAAGGTGTCCCAAAGGTGCTTTTCCAAAAGGCAACTGGACTTCCTTTGTTTTCTCCTTGAAAACATTTCACTACTTATTCAAGAACTTCTTCAGTTCTGGGGGGAAAAAAACAACAAGAAAAGGAAAAGCACCTTTGGGACACCCATAATCTGAATGATTGAGAATCTCCATAGACATTTTTCCCAAAGCTGGTTTTCATGCCATTGAGAAGATTTAAATTCATAACCTTCCAATTTCTAGTCCAGTACCTTAACGATTACCATGACTCTTTTGAATGTTAGTGGGTCCTGGCATTCTAACAATGGGATAGAATTAAGATCCTCAAGTAGTAAAATCTCTAAGAATTCTTTAGAGATTATATAATAGGAGAACTAGTTGAGGCAAGTTTGTAGAACAGTAATTAGATGCAGTAATTAAATCAACTTTTATTAGTACAAGAATAACACAGTGGGGGGGAGCAATGAAGAGAATTCATATCTGTGAATTCTACATTTGGTTGGGATGTAGTTTTTAAGCAGTTTTCACAGAAATTCCAAACCTAATGTTTGCCCAGGTTATTACTGTAGTATAAATAACATTCTGTTAGTCTATGAACAGAATACCACTGAACAGATCTCCATCTTGCCCAACATGGTATCCTTGAGTGGCTGTTTGGATTAAATCTCCCAGAATTCTTATGTTGGCTAAGAATTCTGCGTATCACAGTCCCAGCTTCCCTGACAAACGGGAAAATCAGCCATGGTGGCCCAGTGATTAGAATGCAGTATTGCAGGCTAATTCTGCTGACTGCCGACTGCCAGCATTTTGACAGTTCGATTCTCAGCAGGCTCAAGGTTGACTCAGCCTTCCATCCGTCCAAGGTCAGTAAAATGAGGACCTAGATTGTTGTGGACAATATGCTGACTCTTTAAACCACTTAGAGAGAGCTGTAGAGCACTGTGAAGCGGTACATAAGTCTAAGTGCTATTGCTATTGCTGTTTCAACAGGCTGGGGAGATGGCAAGATACAAATAAATGAAGCTATCAAAAAAAAATGCCAAGCATGTGTTAAACCAGGGTCTCGGTTTGTTCAGCCAAGCGGCATATGAAAAGTACATAGAGGGGAAAGTAACCAAATGTGTGTTTTAAAAAATAATTATAAATATACCAAATCTAGGCCAACAGTCTCCATCTGTCCTTACAGTCGTTATCAATAGACTGATCTCTTTAGGTTATCTCATGCCATTATGCTTAAATAGCAATTTTATAAACACATCTCTAATTGGATACATTGAGGAAAGGAGAGGGTGTGATTTCCCCCCCTCTCTTTTCGTTAATAGTCATTAGAAAAGTACCAAAAAAAAAGCCCACCCCCAAAACAAAACAAACGATTGGAAGCAAAACCATCTTCAGAGCGTGACTCAGAGCTATTCATAGCTCCATAAAGCCAGCTGCAGTATCGGAGACAGAAGGGTTCTGCCCGTATTATTATTTCAATTACCATCTGAATTAAAAGTTTGAGCCACGATCAGCCCACATGGTAAAGGGAAGGAGGGAGAAAAGGCAGACAAGCAAAAGAGGCTCACCAAGGCCTACTCGATGACACAATTGACATGTGGCAAAGGTAAAGTTCACAAAGACACAGCCTCCCCCACTTGCACACCCCTAGCAGAACAGAAAGTCAGGCTATGGACTTACATCTCAAGCAACATCCTGGATGTATCCTGGGTGGCAACTTGGGCAAGTAAGAGGGGCTTCTAACCTCTTCCCTGAACATCACAGCCTGCAAAATTTGTGGCTGCAGAAGCTATACCACTGTTTCTGGAGAAGCAGCTAAGGGGACAGAAAGCATAAGTTGAAAAGTGAAATCTCTACCCGAATCTTCAGATAATCATCCACAGTCTGTCATCTTGAGTCAATCAAACTGTAGAACACATGAGAGGGCATAGAAAGATCTTCATTTTAGCTAGAATCTCTGATTAATTTTTTAATCGGACTGTTCTAATTATGGAAATTTGCAGTGTAACTATTTACTGGGATGAGTTGATAAAGTTCATCTGGTATTCCCACTTATAGATGTAGAGGCATTATGCTACTCTATAATATGGCTCTTTTGCTTTTGGCTTAGCATTTGTTAGAACCCAGTCATTGTGGTTTATAGCTCAGCCTTGTATGTGAACCATGCCATTATGTCTCGTTAAGCTATGGTTAAAACAGACTGTGTTTTAGGATGATATGCAAAACCACTGTCAAATGCACAGCTCCTGAACACTCACTCATTCAAAACACATTTTCTGTCCTTTCATTTACTGCACTGTATGGTTTATGGCTTGATGTACTAGGTCAACAAACAATAGTTAGGCCTACTATGTTGTAGTGAGAAGTGAAGCCCAGGTCACTCTCTACTTATTAGGTGCAGAAATCCAGATTTGGAAGTAAATGTAACACAGGTGGGCCCTCGTGTAGCATTTGAAAGCATCTTTATAAACCAAATGCATAAAACCTTGGAATTGCACAACAGTTGCTCTGGGAGCCCAGTAACAGTCACTGCTTCTTCAGGTTGTTACCAACAGATGCTACATGAGTGCTCTAGATCAGGGGTGTTAAACTCACATCATCATGGCGGCATCACGTGATATATCGAGACTATTTTTCCCTTCACTAAACCGGGTGTGGCCGTGGCCAGCACTTGACGCATCTGGCCCTTGGGCTCGGAGTTTCACAGCCTTGCTGTAGATGTTCCAAATCACATTTTTCTCTTCAAATCCAGATCTCTGCATCAGTGGTGGGTTGTTACCGGTTCGCTCCGGTTCAGGAGAACCGGTAGCAGTGGTGGGAGGCTCCACCCACCCACCCGGATGTCATCAAATACGATCTGCCCATGTACAAAAGCTTCTGCACATGCGTAGAAGTGGCGTGTGCACAAACTGGTAGCAAAGGTAAGTGAAATCCACCCCTGCTCTGCATACAGTAGTTGTACTCTTCCTGTACTGAAATGATAGTGAGGATCAAGCCTACCATTATGTAGAATAGAATAGAATAGAATAGAATAGAATAGAATAGAATAGAATAGAATAGAATAGAATAGAATAGAATAGAATAGAATAGAATAGAATTCTTTATTGGCCAAGTGTGATTGGACATACAAGGAATTTGTCTTTGGTGCATATGCTCTCAGTGTATATAAAAGGAGGGTGCATAAATGTAGGGTGACACAGCTAATCTCGAGGGCCATATATTTAATTCATTTGTTTAACATTTCATTTTTACTCAAATATTACAATATGATGTTTGCAACGTATCCTTGTTTTTTCAGCATTCATGCAGCAGTAAAAGAGAACAATCTGCTACAATTTGGTTTTGCAAGACAGCAAATTGGGAGCAATCATTTTGCCACCTCACATGACTCTCTCTGCCAGCGTAACACTCCCACTTCTCAAGAGGCACTTCACACAAATTATTGTTTGTGTGAAATCACTGTTGTTTGACTGCACAGGTCTTCCAAATGTTTGTACTGCCTGTTTATGCAGCACATCAAAAAGTTTGGCCATAACTGATGTGCTACAAAGCTGCTTTTGAGAATGAAAGGTACTTGGTGATTTGGGGTCTTTCAAGCAAGAGAACTTTTTGCAGTCACAATCCAAAGCTATTCAATAACTATTGCACATTTTCTTCCATAAGATGGAAATAGCATGGGAAACTCTAAAAATATGATCATAAAAGCCCTGTCCAGTACAATACCACTGAAAAAGAATAACAAGAAATCCAAGATGAAACCAGCATGGTCGCACAAAGCTCTTTCTGATAAATTGAAAAACAAAAAGGACAAGTACAAAAAATGGAAAGAGGGACACATAACTAAGGGAGAATACCAGCATATAACTCGAATCTGCAAAGATGAAGTCAGGAAAGCTAAGGCTCAGAATGAACAAAGACTTGCAACAAAAGTCAAAAATAATTTTAAAAACATTTCTTTCAACATATAAATAACAAAAAAAAAGTCAAGGAAACAATAGGTCCACTTAAGAGAGAAGATGGCAAGGAAGTAACAGGCAGTAGAGAGAAAGCAGAGCTGCTTAACTCATTCTTTTCATCAGTCTTCACAC